AGCGAAAGATGATGAGACTAAAGATGTGACAAAGAAAGTGAATGGGAAAGTGCAAGTTGGGTTTATTAAGGTGAACATGGATGGTGTTGCTATAGGAAGGAAAGTTGATTTGAATGCGCATTCTTCTTACGAGAATTTGGCGCAAACACTCGAAGATATGTTCTTTAGAACTAACCCGGGTACTATCGGGTTAACGGGTCAGTTCACTAAACCGTTGAGGCTTTTAGATGGATCGTCTGAGTTTGTACTTACTTATGAAGATAAGGAAGGAGATTGGATGCTTGTTGGTGATGTTCCATGGAGGTAATAGATCTCAAAACCCAATGAGAGGTTATTTATCTCTTGAAATCTGATGAATATTTTCTAATGATCGGTTTTTGTGTTTATCTTAGAATGTTTGTTACCTCAGTGAAAAGGCTTCGCGTGATGAAAACCGCTGAAGCTAATGGACTCGGTAAGTAGATTAGTTTGTCTTGATTTCTTGCTGTATTTTGAATAGATGGTAGGACAAAACTTGGACTTAAACATGTTTATATATGCAGCTGCAAGACGTCAAGAACCGAACGAGAGACAAAGAAAGCAGCCAGTTTAGTTCTCTTTTCCACGTTACGCTGTTACAGGTTTTTCTTTGTTTTTTGTTTAAAGTTTTGCAAGTATGTGATACTTATGAAGCAAGCATAAGGAAGAAGCAGAAGCTAGATTGATATTATTCAGTTTGTGTATGTTTCTTGGTTCTTCTAATGGTTTTTCTTCTAGGTTCCTTTTTTTTTTGTTGTTGTCGTTTGTTTTCGGTTGCGATTTCACCATATACTATGGAAGAGAATGCTCTTTATTTCTTTTACTACACTGTAAATATTTTGAAGCTTATCTAATATCGTTTTCAAGGGTTCTTGTTTATGAGTTTGCTTTGATAGATCCAAGTTAAGTAGAAACTCTACATCCAAATTTATCGAGGTGAGACAAAATTAGAAAATCAAGAAATTAAAAAACCCTTCTTGGGTTAGTCTTCTTGTCTTTTCAGATTATAGCTCTCTATTAGAGTAAAAGTAAAACAAGGCATAATTTCCTAATTATACATATAGGGAACTGCCTATTTTCCTAATCAAAGATCAGCTCTACCAGGATAACGAGGAAAGGGAATAACGTCTCTGATGTTGTCGAGTCCCGTTGCAAAGAGTACCATACGTTCAAATCCTAGTCCGAACCCACTATGCTTCACTGTACCATAACGTCGCAAGTCGAGGTACCACTCGTATGGCTTGATTGGTATCTTCATCTCCTTCATCCTTTCCAGCAAGACTTTGTACCGTTCTTCTCTTTGGCTTCCACCAATGAGTTCTCCAACCTAATTTTACAGTGAACAAGAAGACATTAAAAATTTGTTGTTTTCTTCCATAGGAGTGTACTTTAAGACTTGTGTTATGCCAAAGATGATGAGCTTAGCTAAGTTACCTTTGGAACGGGAACATCAAAGGCAGCGACAGTCTCTCCATCGTCGTTGAGTCTCATGTAGAAAGCTTTGATTCCTTTGGGGTAGTTAAAGACAATCACAGGCTTCATTTCAACCTCTGTCAAGTATCTGTAATTTCCAAAGATAAGACCAAAACCATTAGTAACAATTTCTTTCTTCTTGCAAGTCTTGTTTTAAGGGTTATAACAAAAACAAAACAGAACCTTTCATGCTCAGCGGCTAAGTCGATTCCCCACTCCACTTGTTTCTCAAATACAATCTTTCCTTTAGCCACAGCTTCTTCCGATAGCTTTATTGCGTCCGTGTAAACGGCTCTGAGGCAACCGATTTCAGCCTCTCGATGCATCCTCCGTCGACACTCTCTTCCATATATTTCAAGTCATCGTAACAGTCTCCAAGCAGCCCCTGGCACATGTATTTCACATATGCCTCTGCACAGTTCATAGAATCCTACACAAATGTTTTAAAAGCCAGTTTCTTAAGGATAATATATACTGCGGCTTATAATATAAAAGAGGAGAAGGATTACTTACCTCTAGATCTGCAAATGCTAATTCAGCCTCAACCATGCAGAACTCAGCAAGGTGTCTTGAGGTGTGAGAGTTCTCTGCTCGGAAAGTCGGTCCAAATGTATACACGTTGCCAATAGCACAAGCGATGCTTTCGAGTTGTAACTGACCAGAAACTGACAAATAAGCTGGACGACCAAAGAAATCTTGTGAAAAGTCGATTTTCCCATCTTTTGTTGTAGGTAACTTGTCAGATTCTTTGAACAAGGTTGTTACTTGGAACATTTCACCACCACCTTCGCAATCACTTGTTGTGATTATAGGTGTGTTAACACCAGTGACTCTATGTTTTCAGTGGGTCTTATCAGCAGTCCCATGTCGGATTTTTGTAACCGATGCGTTCTGAAAACACAGGCAAAAATTTAGCTAAACTGATCAAAACTAACTTTCCCAAGTGGACAAAAAAAAAAAAAAATCCTTTTAAGAAAAGTAATAGAGATTAAGAAGTTTTTACCAAGTTGGTTCTTGGACGAAGATGAGAAAAATCACTCAGATACTCTGGAGTCAGCTTTGTCTTAGGAAGCGGGTACTTATCCGGATCCACCGTTCCGACATGAATCACTTTCTTAACATCAAGCTCTATCTTCTGATTCCTGTCTTTACCTACCGGTGGAATCTTCAAACGTCCATCAACGTGGACACTAGTTCCCGTCCGAATCAACTCGGAGAGATCTGATGGTGATGATACACAACTCTCTACCAAAACCTGAAGATTCGCTACGCTGCACGATCCATCGTTCACCTCAAGAAAAGCTAATTTCCCTTTTCTTTGTAACCTTCCCGTTTTTACCCACCCGCCGATCCGGACGTTCTGTCCGGCAAGTCTATATCCGCCGTCGGATCGGCCTAGAATCGATTCGATAAGCACCCGATCCGAAAACGGATCTTTTTGCACTTGTTCCAGGTCTTCATCATCATCATCAAGCATTTCTTGAACAGTGATCTTAAACTTACGTTTACCTTCAATTGGAATCTTCAAACATCCATCGGAAACGTTCACCATAACCTCAAGACTCGCTGAGGAAGATCCATCGGTCTCCACAAGGATAGACCTAGACTCTGTTCCGGTTCTAAGCCACCCTTCGCTCCGCAACTTCTGACCGGCAAGCCCAGCTCTGTCGTCGGCGATGAACATCTCATCAGTCATTGTTGATTATGACAAGTGATGAAAAACCTGAAAACCTATTGGGATTTTAAATTTTATTTTTATTATTGCTTGAGGCCAAAGCTATTGCAAAATAGAAATCATTCGTGGACTAAATGTCCTAAAAAAGGAAAAAGAAAAATTTACAGAGAATAATTTACTTTTTTTTAAGAATTAACTAGGATAACTTTTTTATTGTTCAAATAACTTATTTTGGATTTTTTTGTGAGTTAAATTGGTTAGATAACAAAAGAAATTATATCTCAAAATCTAACAAAAATCCCTAAATATAATAAGTGGGATTTGGCCACATAAAAAGTATTTGATTAAATTCTGAAATATAGATTTTTTTTTGGTTATCTAGCCAATTAACCCTTATCTTTTTCCATAATACCAAAAATACTTTTATTAACTAATAAATATTAAGAAAAAAAATATATTAAGAAAAACTTTTGCACCAGCCATTGCTTGATGCCAAAGCTATTGACAGTTGCTTGATGCCAAAGCTATTGAAAGTAGAAATAATTCGTGAACCACACATCTTTTTTTGAAGGGCCAAAGTTATCTCTTTGTTTTTCGTGAGATTGTCAGTTGAATTGGTTATGTTAAACCAATTTATGGATTAAGTTTAAATTTGGTTTAGTTTGGATCAGATTTTAAGTATTGGGGCAAAATATAATTTATTTTTATTCGAAACTTTGGTGCAAGTCACTATGTAT